AGTCTAGGAATAATGGGCTCCATACAGCCTAGGTGTGGAGCAGTCTATACCATCTAGGTTTGTGCGAGTGCACTCTATGTTTGCAAAATGACAAACCCGCCTAACGATCAATTTCTCAGAACACATCCCATTGTTAAGTGGTGCACGACTGTATACCAAAATCTTTTTTTTTTTTTTTTAAGCTGAGCCATCCTGCTACCTGTTGGCAGCTCAGCGGCTGCTCAGCTCGGGCTGGGAATCGAACTGCTGTTGCTCAGAGCTCAAACTCATGAGCAAGCTCTTAACCAACTAATCCACTTGGCCGGCCCTGTATACCAAAATCTTCAAATTATTCTAAGAAGCACAGACGCAATCCAATTTTTATTAGTTCTTTCTCCTCTCAGTCCCAAACACTTCATGTGTGGAATATTTACATCCCACCTAATAAATTGCCTCCTGTCTTGTGGATATGTCTTATACTACAACTCTTTCTGTGTCCTGTTTCCCCAAACTATATTTAGAAGCTATTTTAGGGCAAGGACTGTCTTCTATCTCACTGTATGAAAGCATCTCCTCACTGTATGAAAATGTGCAAATTTTTGGATAATGGAGTAGTAATGAGTTTGCTCAAAAATAAGTTTCTATTTATCATCATACTGACCATACTGACCATTTCACATGTATTTGTTTAGTGTATGCTTTTGTACCTTTTATTCATATAAACCTTATCTAATTTAAAACAAAGACTTATCTTCCAGTAGGATTTTGCTCATTTAACTTACTTCATAACGGTAGTAAGTACTCACCCCAAAGTGGTGTTTATGGAAAGGATGACAGTTTAAAATAGGGTTGAAAGTTCCACAGATAGGATTCAGAGAATCCCTTAATACAAAAATTTGAAGTCACCTGCAAAAATGTGTGTGCATGCTGCATCTTTCAGGGAAGCAAATCCATACTTTCATCAGATTTCCCTCCTTAGGAGTTTAAGATTAAGAATCACCAGTTTTCTCAAAAAGCTAAATATAGAATTATCATATGACCCAGCAATTCTACTCTTAGATATATAACCAAGAGAATGAAAACACATGCTCATACAAAAACTTATATATGAATGTTCACAGTAGCATTAGTCATAATTGCCCAAAAGTGGAAACAACCCAAATGCCCACTAACTGATGAATGAATGAACAAAATGTAGTATACCCATACTATATATGGAATATTATTCAACCATAAGGGAATGAAGTATTGATACATGCTACAACACAGATGAAACTTGAATCCATTATGCTATGTGAAAGAAGCCTGGGCTGGCCAGGTGGTCACAGCGCGAGCTCTGAGAAACAGGGTCACCAGTTCAATTCCCACATGGGCCAGTGAGAAGTACCTGAGCTGAGCTGCCAACGGGTAGCCGGATGGCTCAGCTGGTGAGGGCACATGCTCTTAACAACAAGGTTGTCAGCTGGACTCCCGTATGGCATGATGGGTTACGCCCACCCACAACTAAGATTGAACATGGGACGTTGAGCTGAGCAGCCGTGAGCTACCGATGGGCAGCCAGATGGCTCAGTTGGTTAGAGTGCGTGCTCTTAACAACAAGGTTGCCAGTTTGACTCTGGCATGGGATGGTGGGCTGTGCCCCCCTGCAACTAGATTGAAAGCGGTGACTGGACTTGGAGCTGAGCTTGCACCCTCTACAACTAAGATTGAAGGACAACAATTTGACTCGGACCTGATGGGTCCTGGAAAAACACAATGTTCCTTTCCCCAGTTCCCCAACACTGTTCCCTTCCCCAATTCCCCAATAAAAATCTTTAAGAAAGAAAGAAAGAAAGAAAAGAAAGAAAGAAAGAAAGAAAGAAAGAAAGAAAGAAAAGAAAGAAAGAAAGAAAGAAAGAAAGAAAGAAAGAAAGAAAGAAAGAAAGAAAGAAAGAAAGAAAGAAAGGAGCCTGACACAAAAGGCCACATGTTGTATGATTCCTTCCACATATTGTATAATTCCACTTATGTGAAATGTCCAGAACAGGCAAATCCGTGGAACAGAGAGTATATTACATAGTAATTGCCAGAAGCTGGAAAGAGGGGCGAATGGGAAGTGACTGCTAATGGGTTACAGATTTCTTTTTGGTGTGATGAAAATGTTCTGGAATTATAGTAGCGATGGCTGCACAATTTTGTGGACATAATAAAAACCACGGAATGGTACACTTAAAAGGGTGAATTTATTGTATGTGACTACCATAAAAAAATAAAATCCTTCTCTTCCCCTGCTGCATGTTTGACATCTTTTGCGGCACCCTTCTTCCCAACCTAAACTACATTAAAACTTAAAAGTGCTCTCCCAACAACCTCCTTCTCATGTTGTATCTCAGGCTGGAAAATTTCAGATATCTCCAATTTCTTTTCTTTCAGTTTCAACAGCAGTCAGTCACCAATACCAGCCAGCACTTTCTATTAATATTAAAAATGGTTATCATTCTTGAATACATAATTCCTGCCAGGTACTATGCTAGATGATCTACAATTATCTTTAATGTTCACAGTAGTCATGCATTTTACAGAGGAGGAAACTGAGACTAAAGGGGATTAAGTATCTTGTCTGTCCTTCAAGTCTTTCTCCCTCTAAATGAGCGGTTCTCAACCTGTGGGTCGCGACCCCTTTGGGGGTCGAACGACCCTTTCACAGGGGTCGCCAGGTACTCATATGTGGGCGTATCTGCATGTGGGCCTGGAGACAGATAGAGGAGCGGTGTCTCGGTTCCTAAGACCATCGAAAATATGTGTTTTCCGATGGTCTTAGGCGACCCCTGTGAAAGGTTGAGAACCGCTGCTAAACTATCCTCCACCCTTCAGCCAGTGTGATCTTCCTAAAACTAAATCGGATCATGTCACTCTCCCACCTAAAGCTCTTCAATGGCGACCACTGTCATGAAGTCCAGGCTCCTTAACTGGGTATAAGGTGCCCTTCAGGAGTCCTCTTCTCCCACCACTCTTCATAACAACTTCGTTCAGTTCCTGGACCATGCCAAGCTTTTTCTCCTCTTGCCGATGGACTTGGCACAGGGTTCCCTCAACAAATGTGTATTAAGTGCCCACTCTGCCTGGCATTGCACTTGCTGCTTGGGCACATGTCGTGAACAAAACAGATATATGTCCTGACCTCAATATACTTAAGGCCTAATGGAAGAAACCATCAACAAGTAATTACAGGTAGTGGTAAGTGAACTGAAGCAAGCAGCATGATGTATTATAGAACATCGAAGGTTAGGGGTCAGGGGAAAACTATAGTGACTATTTTAAATCGGATGGCCCGGTAAGGTCTCAGGTGCTAACATACTCTGAAAGCTGAGGATTAAGGAACCAGCTATGTGAAAGCAGGTAAGAGGAAGGGGGTGTGTGACAAGAGATGTTCCTGGAGACAACAGCAGAGCCCAGACCAAGGATTTTTGCAGGTCATGGTTAGAACTTTGGATTTTATTCTAAGTATTAAGTGCAATGGAATTCATTAAAGAATTTTAAGAAAGGAAGTGTCACTTTTTGCTGCCGAATGGAAAGGGGATTTGGAGGGGTACAAGACAGGAAACAGGGGCACAAGGCCTAAAGCTATAGTAGTGGTTTAAGTGAGAAGTGTGGATAATTTGGACAAGGATCTGATCGTGAAAGAGGAAAAAATAGACAGATTAAATGCAGAATTGACCTGCCTTACAAAGTCATCAGCTGAAAGTGAAAAAGAAATGAAGAGAGGACATAGTTTGGCGAATTGTCATGGAAAAGAAAGTAGGCTCACCACAGAAATAGAAGATCAGAAGGCTCTCAGGCCCATGCTGAGTGAATATTCAAGAGGTTGACAATTTTTATTTTACAGTGTTATCAATTTGTCCAGGACTTTTTCCAGCAAAGTTCAGCCATATAGGTGCAGGTGCAGAAGGCAAAAAATTGGGTTCATCCAGAGTAGGGGTTTTGCCAGAAGAATAAAAGGCAGTGAGGGATAAGAGATAGTGTAATTTCAAGGGAGAGATAATAATGATATAAACTATTACATACACTCTCAACTGTCTTAGGGGGTACAGATGGGCAGAAAATGGAAGGATAATGAATTTGAGGTATAGGTGAAGTTCAAGTATTGTCTCCTCGGGGTACATAAGTAAGTGAATTATAAAGGCAGGAGGTCAGATAGCTAAAAGTTATTATTTGCTTCTTCTGCTTGGAATGGTCAAGTCCCCCTCTAGGCAAACAGGACTATTTGATCTCCAACCATATCCAACCTGTGCTTTCCTGCTCCCAGTCTTCCCAGGACTCCCCATTACTACCACCTGAGATTGTCTCTATCTCATCCAACACAAATGCCTACCTCAAACTATTCCCTCCTTGAAGCATTTATGTTTTCCCCACTGGGATCTCTCTCCTGGTGACAGCCCCTCACTCAGTGTGTACTACTGATAGTATTCACATTACCACATATATTAATCATTCTTTTTCCTGTTTAGGCCTCTTTACTCAATTGGGGGGAAAAATGTTGTTATAAACAATCAAAGTCTCTTGATCCCGTGGCAGTCCCCAGAATAGTGTCAGGGACTGAGCAATCATTCAATAAATGCTAACAAAGATCTCTGGCTCATGGGCCTCCAAACTTGAATCGTTTTCTAACGCAGGATTCCACCGAATCGAACAAAAGCTCATAATCCCTGTTCACAAAGGTCCCAGATATCTCCGTTTACCTCAAGGGTGGGCTCCAACTCCACAAATTAATTATAATCCACTGTAACATTCAAAAACACCGTTATGCATTTAACAGCACTGGTAGGATGCAGGGATATGGGGCTTGCACAATGATCACAAACCTGGATGCTACAACTTGAGAAAAGCCACGAGAAAACAAATAATTTTCCTCATAGCTTAATGCAGGGCCAGAGAGACCTGGGATAAAAGGTAGACCAAACGGGCACATGAGAGGTGCCAAGAGTAAGCTGGCATAGGGTCGTACTCATTCATGGTCTGACCTCACTCAGCCTGCCACCTACCTTCCTCCTCTCCAGCTCCAGCTGCAGGGCCAGTATCAGTGGTCGCTCCCGAGCCTGCCGCCATGGCTTGCAAGACTCCAGCTCCGCTCGAATCCCACAAGTGGAGTGGGGCGTGAGTGGGGTAGGAGGAAAGTCAAAATCCCCACTCTGAAGCTGCCACACAGGAAGGAGTCGCAGCGGTTGCTACGCGGCTCTCCAGGAAGTGCCGCTCGCATGAAAGTCATGTGACCGGCGCTGGGCAGGGCGACGCAGGTTTGTTTTGATTCCCAGGTTGTTGAAATATAAGCACGTGGTCTCGGTTGTGGCGCTTTTTGCCTAACCCAGAACTGATTTAGCCTTCTTTCAATGTAGCCTTTTCTTAGCTTTGTTTCTGTTGCTCCTCGTTTTCCAGTCCGGTCCGTCCTTTACGCCTTGGCACTTTCCTCCATCCAAATGCATCGGAGTTTTAGAGAATGTTTGTTTTTTTGTGTGTGAAGCTAGGAGAGTGGAAAGTGGCTCTACGTTCGTTTACCCTGCAGCAGCTCTTACAAGCCTAGGATACCAGGAGAGCTCTCGCTTCTCCTCCCCTTCTCTTCCCACCCCTTTTGCCCTTTTGGCAGCAACATGACTACATCTGGTTTTGGTGGTTGCCAGGGAATGAACCTCGGGCAAATGTTCTTTAATTGTGTTCCCCATGACTCATTTCCCCACCCAGACAAGTCAAATCGCTTGGGTTTTCAAGGACACTAACCAACAGCTGTCAGAATTCTGGATTTGTGTATAAAAATAAACAACCGGCTGCTTGATCAAGAGATCAACAACTCTCACCCTTCTTGTTTACTTAGGTCAAAATCATATCAACTGGAGATGGATCTAGGTCATTTGGGGGCAGAAATCTTCCAGTCTAAATATATCTTCATTGATCGTCTATTAATGACAGGCAAAAGAGTAGAAACATATCTATATCTTTTATATATGAAGGAAACTGGCTAGTTTATAATCTCATTGGGTATGGAAGATAAAAAGCTGATAAAGCTAGGCAGTATTTACTGTACATAAACAAACAAACAAACCCAATAAATGATTTGCAGGCTGCAATCCTCTGGGTCCCTACTACGCCCTCAATCTTATACTATCTTCCCCTATAATTTCTGAAGCTATAAACCCAACAAAAACAAGAAGAAACCAAATATAGAAGCAAGCATTAGCTTAAGTTACTGGAGGCCACCGAGTTTTTTATTAGGCACATGATGTAAAACTTGGACACTTCCTCCATCAACACGGGTTCCTTGCCCAACCTCCTGGAGTACATACAGCCTCTCTGGGAGTTTCCTTTTCCCTGGGCTCAGCCGCGCTCCTCCCTGCCTTTCCAATTCCTCCCCATCCTCCCTTTGGGACGCGGGATCCATTCCGTCTCCTGCCACCCGGTGGGTTGGAGGCGGTCCCAATCCTGCACCCCAGCCTCCTCCTAGCCGGCCGCACCTGCCACCCCTCCCGGTCTGAAGCTGTCTCGTTCCGCGCAGGCGCACTAGGCGCGGCCGCGAGGCCGAGGGCGACCGAAGCAGCCTCGGCCTCCACCTCCTCCGGACTCATCCGCGCGGGGCTGGTCGGCGGCCACTGGGACCGCGGTGGGCAAGGGCCCCGCGGCCAGCGCGTAGCCATGGGCTCCGGCTGGAGCAGCGAGGAGGAGCGGCAGCCGCTGCTGGGGCCCGGGCTGGGGCCTGCGCCGGGGACTGCTTGGCGAAGCCGGGAGGCGGCGGCGGCTGCATTGCCCGCGGCCACCCCGGGTCTCGGGCGGGTGTACGGGCGCCGCTGGCTGGTCCTTCTGCTCTTCTCGCTGCTGGGGTTCGCGCAGGGCCTGGTCTGGAACACCTGGGGCCCCATCCAGAACTCGGCGCGCCAGGCCTATGGCTTCTCCAGCTGGGACATCGCGCTGCTCGTGCTGTGGGGGCCCATCGGCTTCCTGCCCTGCTTCGCGTTCATGTGGCTCCTGGACAAGAGAGGTGAGGGGCTCCGGGAGCACCGGCCGGGACTGTCACTCCTGGGGGAGCTTCCTCCCTCAGCTTCGTCTTGGGGGTTGTGTGAGGTGACGGAGTGTTGCGGACATCCCATTCCTGACTAGGAACCTTCCGTACCCAAATCGACAAATACGGGAAAGCTTTTTGGCAGCTATTTTGTTTTTATCGGGGCCCAAAGCAACAGCAGGGATTAAGCCTTCTCTAAATGTTCATGTTTTTGCACATTGTGGACGTCAGAGCATTCCCATGCACGTGCTATGTATGTTTTTTTTAACACCTCACAAAAAATGACTGATGCTTTGACTTCAAAGGGATTTGGGGATGTTGAGGGTGAAAGGTCAGAAAATAGACAAATGATGCCCAGGAAGTAATGACTTGGCTTTGCATAATAGATGACTCCGGCCCATAAAGAGCTGTTGGGAAACTGGGATCTGACTCTTTGGTTTCTGGGAAATGGTACACAGCAGCTTTAAAGTGTATGTATGTGACTAGGTGGATGTGTTAGTTGAAATTTATAACTCAGATAAAGCTTGCGGATGGAGTGAAGACTTCACACAGGATTGCTCTGAACAGACGTTTCCTTTACAGCTTGCCAGTGTGATTCTGTGAGGAGACCAAAAAGAAAGGTCATAGGATTGAATGATAAGATATTGAATTATACCACACAAGTGTGGGTAAATGATTCATGATGGATGTGATATAGCTGCTGAAAAATGAAGGACAATTTTAGGCAGAGAAGCATAGTGCCTAAAAGAAGAGAAATAATTTGATATGCTCTACTTTAGTGTTCAACTCTGAGCATTAATTTTAAGAAGGCCATTGACAAACTGGAGTACTTTAAAGGTTGTGTGACAGGAATGATCAAAGATGTAAAAGTCAAATGTGTAAGATGAAGGGAACTGGGTGTGTCAAGCTTCAAAAAGAAACTTGAGGCAGACTATAAAATATGTGAGGCTCAAGTAAAAGAGGAATTAGACTTGATGTGTGTCGTTCTAGAAGGAAGAGCTAAAGTGAGTGAAGTTACAAAGGGATGTAACTCAAACCCATACAAGGAAGAACCTTCTAACAATGAAAGGCACCCAGCCCTGGGAGGTGTGTCATGATTGGTGTGGAACTTCCAGATACAGCAAGTACTTATGCAGAGCAGAGGATGTGTGCTAGTTGCTGGGGAAGGGTTTCTTGTGCTGGGAAAGGGTTTCTTGTGCTGGGAAAGGGTTTCTTGTGCTGAATGGAGGTTGTCTTTGTTTGGGTTTTTTTGTTTGCTCCTAAACTAGATTATAGACTTTATTTGGATTTCACCAGTTTTACCACTAATGTCTTTTTTTTAAAAGATTTTATTGAGGAATTGGGGGAGAGGAACAGTGGTGGGGAGTTGGGGGAGGGGAACAATGTTGGGGAATTGGGGAAGTGTAACAGCCAAGTTGTTGTTCTTCAGTCTTAGTTGTGAAGGGCCCAGCAAGCTCAGCTCCAAGTCCAGTCGCTACGCTCAGCTCTGTGTTCAATTAGACGTGGGTGGGCGTAGCCACCATCCCATGATGAAATCGAACTGGCAACCTTGCTGTTAAGAGTGCACCCTCTATCCACTGAGCCATCCAGGTGGCAGCTCAGCTCAAGGTGCCAAGTTTAGTCCCAGCCGCAGGTGGGCATAGCTCACCATCGAACAGGCAACCTTGCTGTTAGGAGCAGGTGCTCTCACCAGCTGAGCCATCCTGTCACCTGTTGACAGCTCAGTTGCAGCTCATCTTGGGCGCAGCTCACTGGTCCATGTGGGAATCCAATCAGCGGACTCTGTTGCTCAGAGCTCTCACTCTTGAGCAAGCTCTTAACCAGCTGAGCCACTCCGCCACCTCCCTTCCCTCACCCCAACGAATGTCTTTCTTTCCCCTCTGTCCCAAGGATTCAGTTGAGGGTCCCAAGTTGCATTTAGTTGTTACTTCTCCTTAACCTCCAATCTGTGACAATTCCTCAGTCATTTCTTACAAGGTTGGCTAAATTTAGGGGGAAATGCTATTTTGTTGTTTCTTTTTATTAGGAGCATTTTTCAATATTATTCATTAAATGTAGCCAACCTTGGTTTTATGGTAGAAAATTGTTAATTTTTACCTTTCTTGTTATAATTAGGGACTACCTATTTGCTTTATAGAATAAGTTACGTTAGGAATTCTCTCAGAGCTCCATGTGACTATATGGCAAATTCAATTCTGTTTTTCATTGGTTGAAGCAACAAAAAAATAAATTTTAAAATTCTCTTTTAGGAAGTGGTTTTCCTTTTCAGTAGGACAAAGCTAATACACTGTCATATGCTGGCTATCCTGCTGCAGATGTTCTATCTGCATCCATAGAAAGTGAGTTCCTTTTATCCCTGGGTACTAAAGTATCTTTCTCCCTAGAAGGTAGATAGTTGTCTGGCCTTCCTCTTGCCATGGGTCCTGGTCAGTTTAGCATAGAATACTGCTTATCTTCCTGAGATCGGTTATGTACCCTCTCACCCCTTTCCACTTTCCAGCAAGGAGACAAAAAGGACTAATGATGAGCTAATAGGAGAGCCAAAAGCGAATGTTCCCTAGAAGCCAAGTGAAGAAAGGTTCAACAAGGAGATAGCACCTGAATGTGTGCTAAGCACTGGGGAGAGACAGTCCTCACAGAGCCTACATTCTAGTGACAAGATACAGTCATCAAACAAGAATAAAATTAAAGATATAGCATGTCAGATGGTAATTGTGCTTTGGAGAAAAATAAAGCAAGGCAAGGGAGAAAGGGGAATGTGATTCAATGATACTCTATATAAGTGAGTGTCAGGGAAGGCCTTACTGATAACGTATATATATATTTTTTAAGATTTTTAAATTTTTATTATTTTTATTTATTTTTTATTGGGGAATTGGGGGAGGGGGAACAGACAAGTTGCTGTCCTTTTGTTCTTCAGTCTAGTTGTGGAGGATGTTGCTTCACTGGCCCATGTTGGTATTATCATTGCACTCTTTTCGGCTGAGGCAGATTGGTGGCCGGCCTCTGGACGGCCGCTCACAGCAGCTCTTGGCAGCTCACACCGGCTGCTGGCTGCACATGCTGGCTGTCAGCCACTCACGGTAGCTTATGGCAGTCCACTGCAGCAGGGGCTGCAGCCTACGCCATCGCCGGCAACTCACGGCAGCCCAGCTCCAGGTTGGGCTGTTGTTCACCATCTTAGCTGTAGAGGGCGCAGCATCACTGGCCCTCATGTGGGATCCAAACAGGGGCCCTGCTGCTCAAAGCTGGTGTCCCAAGCCAACTCTTAACCAATGCGCCACTCGGCCGGCCCCATAACATGTATTTGAGCAGAGACTTGAGGGAAAGGGAAACCTAGTGTGTCAGTTCTGAAGAAGACTGTTTTGGGAAAAGATAAAGGTCCTCATCTTGTTCGGCATGTCCAAGAAAGAGCAATGAAGCCTGTGTGGCTGGAGTTCAGCCGTGAGGGAAACAACAGTAGGAAATGAAGTCAGAGATGGTGAATCATGCAAGGCCTCATAGGCCACTGTACGGTCATTGGCCATTGAGGAGTGAGGAAGGCTCTCTCCACGGGAAGGCTCTGAGCAGAAGAGTAAGATGATGACTCTGCTGTTGTCTTGAGAACAAGAGCCAGAGCAGGGAGACCAGTACGGAGGCTAGTGGAATAACCTAGATGGGGCTGATGGTGACTTCCAACTGGGGTGATCGTAGTGAAGGATTTGATCAGTGGTTAGATTTCTGATATATGTTAAAAGTAGATTCACCAGTATTTGTTGATGGATTGGAGGTGGGATGTGAAGAAAGGAAAGGAACCTAAGATGTTTCTCAACTTTTTAGCATTCGTAAATGGGAGAATCAAGCTGCAATTTACTGAGATATAGAAGATTGTAGAAGGAACAATTAGGGGCTGATGGCATGAAGATCAGGATTTTGAAATGCCTGTTAGATATCCAAGTGGAGGGGTTAAATTGTCAGTTGGATTTACAAATAGGGAGTTGGGGGGGGGGGGGAAGCCCTGAGCACTTAGTTTGGAGTTGATCAACCTATAATGGTATTCAGTCTTGGGGCTGAGTGAGATCACCTGTGGAGATAGATGGGTGTTGCTTCAGAAGAGGACTGAGCCTGGGGGCATTCCAACATTTAGAGATTGCAGAGGTAAGGAAGAACCAGCTAGCGATGACTGACAGTAGGACCTTGGATTTATTAATAGCAACATGGAACTCTTTGGTATCGTTTTAAAAAAATAGTCTCACTGGCGTGGTGGGGGTGAGTTCAAAATAAATTGCAAGATGATTGGAGACAGTGAGTGTTGACATTTCTTTCAAGCAGTTGTGCTGTAAAGGGCCGCTGAGAAATGGGGCGTAGCCAGAGGGAATGTGGCTACTGAGAAGGTATTTTTAAAGATAAGAGATATTAAAGCCTATCTCTGTAATGCAGTATTCTAATGGATCTAGTAGAAAGCAGGAATTGAACAACGCTGGTGGGAGAGGGAAGAACTACTGTAGCCATACCCTTGAGTCAGCAAGAGGAGATGCAATCCTCCAGAGCACAAGCAGACAGGCTGGCCTTGGATAGAAGTGTTGACAGCCAATTCTCCAGTAGTAACAGAAGAGAAGAGAAGAGTGTATAGATACAGATGCGGATGGTGGGTGGGAGGAGCTTATGGAGGTTATCTTTGCTTACAGTTCTCAGAAAATAGGAAACAAAATTATCACCTGACAAGGGAGGCTAGGGAAGCAGTCATTGGAGGATTGAAGAGAGATGATAAATTGTGAAACTATTTCCCAGGAAAGTGGAAGAAAGCACACGGACGAGGAAATTATAGTCATGCGCCATTTAATCATGGGATATTTCTGAGAAACGCATCCTTAGGCGATTTCATTGTTGTGTGACTGTCATAGTGTGTACGTACACAAACCTAGACCGTATAGCCTACTACACATCTAGGCTAAATGGAGTAGCCTGTTTTCCTAGGCTACAGGCCTGTACAGCATTCA